CGGAAACCCGGGAAAAGAAAAAAAAAGCGGATGAACGGGAAGAATAAATCGGAATCGCGGCGCTAAGGGGCGCGTGTACATCGATCATCCGAGAGGAGTTTTGCGTCCCTCCCTTGTTGTTCGCGCAGGGACGAACGAAGCGCAGTAACCCGATCAACGTCGGCCCTGTATCGGGCATTATTATTCACCCGGGGCCCCGTCAGTCGATGAGAAGGAGAGGGCGGGGCCCGCGGAGCATGCATCATCGAGAGCAAATTCCGTTCGCCTCTCTTTATTTAACGGTGCAGCCGAAGGATAGGTGGAAGGATCAACCAGGCGTCCGAGGGATGAAGAGAGAAAGAGAGAGTGGGAGAGAGAGAACGGCGAGCCGTTCCGGCCGATCTTCACGTGGCTGCCGTCAGTCCGCTTAACTGTAGATCAATCAATATACGCTGGTTGAACCCTCGTATACACGCTGTTCCTTCTCTGTCCCACGTCCAGCTCCACCGTTGATCTCTCTCCCCCTCGCTCCAACCTTTTACCCCGGTCCTCTCCCTCCGGCTGCCCCTAACGAGCTCATCGCTCGCGCGGCCAAAGAAAAAACACGAGAAACTGGTACAAAATGGCCCTTGAGAAATGCCGTCCGTTCGTCTGTACCACGTTCGTTCGTTCGTTCATTCGTTTGTCCGGGTCGTTTCGACGACGCGCGAACGTCGCTGATGAGATCTGCACTGAAAAACGGACGCGCGCGATCTAGTGGGATTTCCGCCATTTTGGCGAACACTGCAGAACATTTTTGGTTTCGTTTTGTAGTTTGGAGGTGCGCGTTCAATTGATCTGTAAGTTTGAGAGGATCTTTTCGTGGGAGCAAAATATGGACTTTGTTTCAGTCGAAAGTTGATTTTGTTTGGTGATGCTAAATTAAGTGGAAAGTATAGTCGGGTTTATATGAAGGAACTTGGGAATTCGTTTTTATCATCTTGAGTATTTCTCTTAGTAATGTTGAAACTAAGTAACTGCGGCGATTCTGTCGGTTTCTAAGTTATTTGTGAACGTTCAGGGATCGAAAAGCACACTATTGCACCGCTTAAAATTCAGTTCCTTTCGAGATGTTGGACTCGAATTGATTGCGTGCGAAGCGTAACACGCAAATTGGAGTCGCGGAATAGCAATTAAACGATCACGTATTACCGTGGCGGATAGTATTGCTGGTATTGTAGGCGGTGTCTATTTCGAGACACCTGTCAGCGACCCTGGGAACGAACAGGATAATAGTCGATAGACCGGAAGCACCTGTGCGCCTTCCTCGAGGTGGAGAGCAAGTGTGTCGCGAGCGAAGCTGATCGGTGTACGATACGCGCCCATTAAATCGCCAGCCGACTTAATATTGGACAGACAACCGCGAGATCGACGATGACACGAGACGTTACATCGGCAATAAACTTTTCTATTACGCGTCACGGTTCGTGGAAAAATAAATCAGTTTCCGGTTACGAAATGCGCACAGGTCGAATAATGAACCGCTTAATGATCGCGAATCAGTTACGCATTACAATTTTATCGCTGTTTCTTTTACACTTGACTACTTCTAATTGATCCCGCGTTGCCGGGATTTAATTAATCAAGGCAGATTATACACACGGAAGGGAGGGAAAAAATGGTCGCGCAATAGGTGAAACCGTTCGACGCATTATCTTTTTCCGTGTTCGCTTGTTTTTTCCCTTTAATTCATAGTCTACTCTTGACGTTTAAGCGTTTCTTCTTCTCCATGATGAAGATTTATTAACTGAATCGCGAATCTTTGTGCGTATCATGTGCATAAGGTCAGAGATAAGTGTACAAAACACGAGATTCATATCTACGCGAAAAAAGTTAATGGAACTTTTATCTTTCAATCACAAAAATAAATCAATGTACAGTCTCTTGTATTATTATCTTTACCCATCACTTCTTATTCTATATTTTACTTTATTGAAAATTACGATTATTCGTGTTAAGATTCGCAGTTCAAGTACAACGAAATTGATTTTACAAACTCGAAACAAATGAAATCAACTTCATTTCGTTTATCTTTGCGAAATCCTCGATAATCTTGTCTCAGGGGTCACCGAGAACGGTCGTTCCCAACTGTACTCGCGGCAAACAAGAGCAACAGACACGCCATTGATACGCACGTCGCTTTTCGCAGTCGGCTTCGCTCGAAAAAGCCTCCCCTTCCGCCGACATCTTGGCCAGGATCTACCGGTGCGGCGGAGAGAACTAGGCAGGATGAACGCCGGGGTCCGACCGGCAAATTAATTATTATTCACCCCGCGTGAGGCCGCGTTACGAGGCAGCGCGTTTCGTTCAATGAAATTTATCGTCCGACGCAGATCTACGAGCCGGGAAAGGCTCTACGGAGAACGTCGCTCTAGAGAACGAGCATGGCGAACGCGCTAGTTCAACCCTTACGTTCGTGCATCTTCTTTCGCGCTCGTATCGATGTTCAACCAAATTAGACGGAACATGATAATTGAATCCTGAAGATTTGCCGCTTGTTTCTATTACATTTACTCGAAAGTTATTATCGGAAACTAACGTTGAATAGAACGTTGTATTTCTTACAAACAACTTCGATTTATTAAGGTTATTAAGTACTAAATATTATTATATGTATCCTATTTCTCTTTATTGCTATCTGTCATTAGATATTATAAATAGACGTCAAAACGTTTCGTTATTAGATATTACCAACTAAATATTATCAAATGTCTTATTAGATATTATTATTAGACATTACCAAAACGTCTCGTCATTCTACTTTTTAATGCGTTTATATTACAATCTCCAAATAAATATTATAAACAAGTAAATCAAAAGACAATAGCTTCCAAATGCAATACGCAACGCATAGGTTCAACGAAACCAATTATGTTATTATTATAATTCAATGATATGAAATTTCCTTAAAGTTCATTAAATGCGACGAAACTTGCCAGCCAACCTAATACTTCTATACTCTGAAATCGAGTTTCTTATAACAGAAATTCAACGACAAATCTACGCGATACGAGCGCGCTCGGCATGACCAGCAGCGAATAACAGTCCCGCAGCGCCGTTTCGCTTCTCGAAGATTTTACAAGCGTGGGTGCGCCGCGGTTGCGCAAGCTTGAGCGGTCGCCAGGACGCCATAAACATTCACGATCTATAAATTGGGAATCTCGCGGAATTCTAGGCGATATAATGACCGGGATGCATTTAACGGCTAGGCTGGTAGCGAGAGATGGGCCGCTCTGCGGGGATCGCGCGCCAGCGCAGCGTCACGCGACTTCAAAGACCGGGAAATCGGCGAACCGTAGAATCGTCGTGGATTCCCGCGGCTTATCCGCCGGCCGCGATGGCCGATAAAAAACAGAGGAATAAAGGAGAAGGAAGCGAGCAGCTGTAAGAATCGGTGACCGAGTCACCGAGAATAGCGATCGCCTCGGACAATGGTTTACAGAGTAACGCTTCGAGCGCTACTGAAAATAATCCTCGCGTTCTAGAAGACGATTTTACGAGTCCACTCGGAGGAGAGCGGTGGCTCGACCCTTCCGAAGGTACTTTCAAGCGCCGCTTTCATTAAAATGTTGCCGTGAACGGGGAGTTCCTGGAAGTTTTTTCGTTGGGTTTCTTTTAAAGTGTCGACTGAACGTGTTCCCTTAAATCCGCGTTGTCTAATGAAACGACGCGAAAAAGTATCACAGGAGCGATTTAAATTTGACTTCATTCGCGAGGTCAGAATTTCGAAAATAATCCAAAATGATCACACGCTTCTACAATCTCAATTTCTGGGTTCCTCACGTTGCACAAGCAATCTTGCATAATGTATTTGCAAAACTTTTTATTTCGATCATGTCGTTTCCGATAGATTTCCTGTTATTGTGCGTGATTAACCTTTTATACGCGGAGATTTCTAGAGGCGTTAGAAATCGTTTGCATAAAAAACTGTATCGGGTATCTGTCTAATACTAGGAACTAAGAAAAATTGATCTTTTATCGTTTACATATTCGAATTCTTTGATTCCAATTTTCGATTCTGGATATGGGAACATGGCGTGGCCAGTATCACACTCGTCTTTAAAGGGTTGAACATCTTGAACAGGGACAATCGTGAATGTGAGAATTATAATGGAGAACGCTAGGCTGGTAGGTTACATGGAAAAGGAATAGATACCTGGTAGGGTGGGGTCAGCTCGTTTTATAAAAGCAATTAGGGGGTCCCGGATTAGATATAGCGGATCGTACATAACAAATATGATAATACACCGGGGGCCCGCTAGCCCGAAGGGAGTTTGGCTTTCGCCCGGTCGAAGGGGGTTTCGGGTTATGAGGCAGGTTAAACGGAATCATTAATAATCGGGACTAACTAATCTGCCTGTCGCTATGAGCACACTTGTTCCACTCCTGTTTTTATTAGCCTGGCCTCTGGTGTAACATTTTATTCGCCCCGTGGTGGGGAATATACTGGAAGAACTAGACGCAGCTCGGTCAACGTGGAAGATCGATTTTCCCAGCTGGATCACGCGACTCACTGTTCTTATTGGTTCGCGATCAATCCAGCGATATCGCAAGATCCTGCTTCGCCACTTGGAAAAAATGAATAATCGTGTATCTTAGCGATTCGCTCGCCAGAGGTCTCTTCTTCGCGGATACTAAAATACGCAATTAACGCTAAACCATTAGTAATCGAGTTGAAAAGTATTTAGTACAGTATTAACACTTTGCATTCGGGAGGTAACTCGCTACTTGGTTTGATACAGTAAAATTAATAAGATTGATATTGAACATTAAATTTTGTGTAACGTATTGACACACAATATATTCTAATGAAATAAATCTAGTTCTTAGTTTATGTATGATTTCTCTTTAAACTGATTCTAAAAGGTGTAATCGATATTTCAGCAGAAAATGATGAATATTTCTAGTGAGAAACTGTCGAGTGCAAAGGGTTTAAAGGCTCGAATAACGTCTGGCGTTGACCGTGATTTTTCTGATTTCAGCTGTACGAGATCAATGACGACCCGAAAAGGAAAGAGTTCCTTGACGACCTCTTCAGTTACATGCAGAAACGGGGTAAGTTTCTATATATAAGAAACTCCGTCTTCTAAAAATTCTACTTTTCTTTTCCTTCTTGTAGATATCAACTGTTACGTTTACTCTTTAATACTTTAATTTCCACATCTCCTAAATTCGGCTGCTGCAATATCTTGTGCTGCTTTTAATACTAATATACTCAATGGTACACGAAATACACTGAATTCTGTTGAATCTACGAAATACAAGAACAACAGATCAACCGTGAGAAATGTGGATTTCCCCATTTTCGTTTCACGAACAAAACTATCTTAACATCTTTCGATTTCGATTAATTAGTAGCCAGTCAACCTGTCAGAACATTAAACATTCACGACATTCTCACACGAAATCCAAAGAACATCGCGTGTCCGTTAAAAACTAAAACTATCTAGTTGTTACAATGACAACTAAAACTACCCAGCGATCGAATCATCCAATGCCTATCTCCCTCTGCGAATTACAACGCAGCGATTCGCCAAGGTTTCAATTGAATTACATCCTTAATTGCATCGTACAAGCACCGCGTTATACAAGATGTCCTACATTCAATCGAACCGTGATCAAACACTGAACGGTGCCTGGTACTGCGGATTGAACTGAGCGCGCCTCGTTCCACGTCGCAGATTATTATCGTCCGATCCGCGGATCATTCGCGGGAATTGATTCCGCAAATATTGATCGTTCGGATCGTCGTCCAAGGCCAGATTCGCGTCGACCGTTCGCCTTTACAGAAGGGGAGAGGTGGAATCCTCTCGCCAAACGCGAGAGACGCGAGGTAAAGACTGCTATCTCTCTCCGTCTGTCTTCCTTAACAATCTTCTTCTTTCCTTCCCTCTCTTTCTTTCTCGCGCACGCAGATCTCCCCGCATTTGTCTCCATCGTCGCCAGTCGGCGAAGACGTATTACGGATCGCTTGGCACGCATTCGCGTTCCAAACGGGCCTGCAATTTTGTCATAATCCCGTGGACGTCCGACGGGGCGGGACGCCACCAAATCCCGAAACGAATCTCCGGATTTAACCTTAGACCACCTACGCTCGCGGAATCCGCGCGCGCTGTACTTACTTACTTTTCGCACGGAAATATTCCGTTCCGTCTGCGTAACGCGGCGAAATATCGGAGTCCATTTAGCGACGCGTTTGTAACGTATCGTCGTTACGTGGTTAATCCCTTCCCGGTTTTTCGAAACAGAATTTTGTTGGTTTCGTTAACGGCTATTGGCGCTAGTCGTGTGGTGGTTAATTCCTTTGCGGCTTTTCGAGGCTTTCTTGTTTTTCCAAAATGAAATTTTGTTAATTTTGCTAATTTTATCAACGTCGATTGACGTTAGAAGTATCGAACAGTCTAATTGGTTAGTCATTTCGCGGCTCTTCGAGGGTCTCTTGGTTTTCGAATGAAATTTTGTTGATTTCGTTAACGTTGTTTGACGTCGAATGAATTGAATTGCGTTCGCTTCTTTTTGTCAAAAGAACGACAGGAGTATATTCATTTAGATCATGCTTTACATTTATTTATCGACTCCGTTCCGACGTCAAATTGCAAAGGGTTAAGAGATCGCAATCGTTCTTACTATTCATCGATTGCAGAATTCAATTTGCCATGGTGAATCACTTCCTTTGCAGTTCATGTAAACAGTCTGTGATAATGATAATGCGATGTACGAAGTGAAAACTGCATTATTGATGATCAAGGAAATTTATTCCATCTGAACACATGAATCGTATCAAACTGGTCATATAATCTTACCAATATATTCTCTGTCGAGTATCTTTTACTCTTCCATCTATTAAAAACGTTCACACTTTCGACGAATAGAAGAAAAACAATTGATTTCCTCACCGAAACGACTCGCCGCGCAAAACTCATTGTAATGCAAAATAATTCTTTTGTGGGCACTAAATTTGCCTCAATAAAAAGAGAAGAAAAATGACTTCTCGAATGCTGGACGTTACATAAGGAGAAATGTCTGTGAGCGTTTCCCTTTCATGCCCCGAAGCTTTGCAACATAGTTTACTCGACACTTACCGCGAAACAAGCGTGTAAAATTTCAGTGAATGCCAAAAGGAGAGCTATCGGAGGATCGTAACGAGTGATCGGAATTCGGTGAACGCGAGAAGATATAGGCGGCCGCTCGTATAGACGCGGTCCACCCGGTATATTTAGCACCCACGCACCTGTCGAGGTCCGCGGCATTGTCGCGCGAGAGTATTCGCATCGCCGCCGCGAACTTCGGAAACCGTGCCAAGGTATTTAGAATACGGTGAACACTCGCGCGGCGAGCTACGAGCACTCCCGCCACGAATTCATCTTTCTTCGGCGCAACGAACTCCGATGTGCACATGCACTTCCATATTCACCGTCTTCTGCCCTCTCTGAGATGCAAACTTCATCTTTCGTTTCATTTCTGTGGGAGTTTTTATCCTCGTAAACGATAGAAACGTAGAACTACAACCGTAGGAAAGCTGAACACTAGAATAACCGGTCGAATTGACTTCTTGAAATTTCTTTATAAAAACTGCGAGAGCGCATCTATCGAGGTTTCAATTGATTTATGATTCACTTTGCATATTGCTGTATCAATTTCCTTTAGCATTTTTCAGAGTCATTTTTAAACCTGTTATTTGTTTAATAATTGCAATAGAAGAAATCGGAAACGGTCACTTTGATCCGTCTGATAGTTCTAGTGTTAAACAATAGGTGAAGGTAATTTGTATGATTTCTCGGAAATTTACGCTTGCGAAATTTCTTTGTTATTTATCTATATTAACATCGATATTTGAATGTTGATAATAAAAGGAGAAGCGTTCGATTTCAAATGAACTTTTAATTAATTTCAAAGATACAAGTGTTATTCATATTTGCTCTACTGACTTTGAAATCTTCATCATGTGTTTCACTCGATATCACACAACAAGATGTTAACAAAGATTTCGAAGCAAAAGTAGACGCACGTGTGAAATTGAAAACTGTGCTGAGAAGTGAATTTATATATTTCTTGTAAACACTTTACTGATTCTCTTTGATTTGCTTTGCCTTCTGCGGTGATATTGTGATCGAAGCACGTTTGTTGGCTCTCTCTATCGGACTCGTTATCCGAAAGATACGGGCCGGATATGAAAATCTTCCGTGTCGATGGGCAAACACGTGCCACGTGTGTTAAAGATTGCATCCGTGGAATTCCTCGTTCTCGTCGGTGACGGACAGTCGATCGTTTCCGTGTGAATTGCGACCGCGCGATGGCTCTCGTATCCGAATTAAACTAGTTACTATCCGAAAGCCGAAATAACTGGCTCTGTGTTCTTTGCCGTAAATACTTTGCGCCGAAATTTCAGTTTCAACAGGTGTAACAGCGTATTTCAAAAGCAGTTCATCTGGTGAATCATTACTCTCTATTTTAAACATATTTTAATAAGAACTCTACAACATTTAATGCTTGAATCATTATCCGACACAGTTTTCTCTCTGAAATTCGATGCTACTGGTTACTAAAATCTAAATAGGTCCTTATTTCACGAACATTCGCCCCTGTGGTTCAGTTATTCTTGTACGCGAACTCTATAATAACTAACATTGAATACAATGTTTGAACCATTACCTCTCTAAAATGTTATATTTCGAATTACTGAAGTCTAAATAAATTATTCTTCCACAACTGTATAACGTCTAACATTGAAAACAATACCTGAACCATTCCTCCTCCAAAATGTTACACTCCCAATTACTAAAATCCAAATGAATTATTCTTTCATTTAAACCATATAACGTTTAATATTCAAAACCTTATTCCAAACAATTTCCTCAAAACTCTACTCAGCTCTTCCTAGCAAACGACTTTCAAACTACTGTGTTCCGTTCCCGGTATCACCGAGGAGTCAGGTGGAAGCGTCACCGGTGCACGTGCGATCGAGTTGCAGCCCGGGAATTCCGGCGATCGAGGGATCCAACGACGTCGCGTTCACTAGTCGCGAAAATTACGGGGCATTATTCACGGTGTCGTGTCGCGCGACGTCGGTTAAAGGAGGCGCCCGAGCACACACGTGCGACCCGCATCTCGTTTCCTGCGCACGTGGATGCTCGGGACGAGCCGGCCCGCGCCTAGACGCGTCCAAGTTCCTCGTAAACGTCCACGTGGTTAAAGGGTCCGACAACACGTTGCATCTGCCTCCGCCTAGATCAGACGAAATTAGAATCTAACGCAGTCGGAACAACCGATGCTCCGCGGACGCTCGTCTCACTTTCTCTTCGAGACGCGTAGGAGCCGAACTTACCAAACGGGTCGTTCACAGGTTGACTAGCTTCACTTCTCGAATGTTTTCAAATTCTACTGAAACGTCTGACTGGTTCTTTACTATTCAATTAATTTCATTGGATTTTTCTACTGTTCATTCTGTCGAGTTAATCACTTCGACAAAGGAATGACACAAAAGGCAACGATCTGTCTAGGGAAGCATTGGAGAAGTTGATGGCATCCATCGTTCATTTATTATTGAGATCAGGCGAATACAGGTTTCTATGGAAAATTGATTTCTGAAGGAGCGGGACTTGGAACGAGACTAGTGACATTAATGGCATTTAAATGTTTGTAACGTATTGAGAAAGTTGACATGCAATTTTATTTTAATTGTTTATAGCGGAGTTTGAAGTGTTAGGATTGTTTGTGGTACCATAATTTTAATATTTGTTAAATTGTCTTAGGTAAATTAGTGATCCATCATTTTAGACTGTAGTTGAATTTAAAGACTTTTCAGATTGTCAAACCTTTTGAGATTTCGAATTTGAAATTTTCTCCTATCGTCATGAAAATTTGAAACGATTCCCAGCGTGGGTCCTAAACATTATGCACACCCTGTACAACAGAAGATTCGATTACAAAGCGATCCGTAAGAACCGGAAACGTCGTCGTCTCTCTAATTATAAACACTGTGACTGGTTTCATCAATCAACCGTGGTGGTGATGCGGCCCGGCTCTCCTTCTGTTCCCTTTTCTTTTTCCCTCTG